TAGTCGTTTTTCACAGGCACTTTTTAAAAGACTTCTTCATAGTTACAATCAAATGAACGAGTTTTATTTAAACACACTTGTCTAGATTTTATCTACTTGGAATGGCCGTGTACACATCGGAGACCAGATACTGACATCAGTCTGCTGTGAGATCCAAGCTCCCGCCCTGCCTTCTCCCCCCAGACTGTTAAACTGGTCGTTGAACAGCTATCAGCTTGTGGTTGAATTGGTCTGCTTCTGCTAATTTATGATTATTGAACCACTGGGGCTTTGTAGCTCCAGCTGGAGGATGATAAACACTACCCCAAACACATGGCTGTTACCTCAGGTCATCCTACTGTACAAGATGGGGGAAGAAAGAAAAGACATCAATGGCGAGCCCCTCGATGGGTGATCTCGTATCTGTGCACCTTTATAAAGCTAAAACATCGTAATGAGCCTCAAAGGTCAAGTCATTCTGAAGACCGCCTTTGTCTGTCCAGGCAGACCTCAGATTTGAAGTTGGAACACAGAGGAAATGAAAAGACAAGCTGCCGCATATTTTTGCTCCCAGATTGGAATCGCATTTTTTTTACATGGACAAGAACGTCTTCTTTACTGTTCAGTGGAGGACTAAGGAGGATGTGAAATGCGCGAGCTGCCTCCTCTCCGAGTGTCAATTCTGGAGATGAAAGTAGAAGTCGTTTAATGTTACAGTCCTCTATTTATGTCTCTCTTGTCAATTTTCATTAATGTCTCTCTCTGGCATGCGAATTCAGGTGACCTAGTGAAAATGAGAAACACATGTCTCTGCGTTTTCTACAGATATACTACCTCATTGAGTTGAACCTAGTTTGACGCTGTGCATCCTGTTAGTATGAGAGGACGCGAGTGAATACAACCCATCCCTCCTCAGCTCTTCGCTTTTCCCCAAAAAACTAAAACAATTATCTGGGTAGTTTGTTTTAAAGGGTAGACAAATGCAGAAAGTTTTAAATTACCACAATGTATGACTTTTTGAAGGGAGAGCCTGAGGATCACTCTCTCACTTTAAGGGAAAACGGGCTTTAGATCATCTACTGGACAGTTGGCTCATCAAGGGGAGAAAGCTTTGGAAATCAGACACAGGAGGAGATGATACTCTTGTTTCTCAGAAAGACATGAGATGGTCTGACTGCATGTCACATCAGAACACAATGTGCAGACAGCTGCTGGAGTTCTGCAGAATGAAGCGAACTTCCCTTCCCATTACCTCCCCTGTTCCCTCACTTTCCTTTTTTCCTCTTTCCATTCCCTTCACCCCAAGAGCTTAAACCCTGATTGATTCACTGACCTGTCTGTATACGAGTTTGTGTGTGTGTGTGTGTAATCAGAACTCCATCTTGCCAGCAATCTCCCTAAAGAGACACATTTCCGACATCACTCAGAGCTTGGCCAAGTTCCCCAAATACACACACACTTCTCTCCTTTCTCGGTTGAAATATTTGTAGTTATAGACTGCATCTAGTATCTGTAATGAATTAGATGTCCAACAGACAAGAGGTCATTTATATTTTAACCTAATGGATCTTTACCTTTAACAGTTCCCTACGTGCTGTATTTCCATGCTTTCTAATAGTTTCTGGTTGTTTTTTGGCTCTGCTATTTTTGGCTCTTTTCTTAAAAACATCTGTTGATGCAGAACACCCAAACCCCATCTTAGCATACCTGAAATCCTTTGTGTGCCTTGAAGAACTGGAGAATGGTGCATATGATTCTATCTCCTGTCTGTTTTGTGAGTTTGAGTGAAGCTCGGTGACATAAACCCCTTTTGTGTGCGTTTTCCAGACAAGTTTCTGGGTGGTACGAGAGATCCTGCATGCACAAACCCTGAAGATAAGAGCTGAGGTGCTGAGTCTGTACATCCGCACCGCCAAGGTACATGTAGCCACGCACAGCTTTCTTCTGTTTCCAAAGAACATCGGCAAAGTAAACTAATCGGAACGTGTCTTTGCCATTTGGTTGCGTTTCACAGAAACTGTGCGACATGAACAACCTCCATGCAGTCATGGCCGTGGTGTCAGGGTTACAGAGCGCCCCCATCTTCAGGCTCACCAAAACATGGGCGGTGAGTATGTTTATGCTAACCTGAGTGCACATGTTTAATCCCAATAAATCTGTTTCACGAGGACCTGCACCAAACATCATGCACATCAGCAAAAGCTGTAGGTCTATCAGAGCCAGTATCTGATTGAATGAGTTCCTTTTACATTGGGAAAGACACATGGCTCTGTTAGCGGTGAGCACACACACGAACGTTCAGCGCTCAATGGGCTGTACTTTAGAAGTTGCCGAAACAAGAGAATGTCTGAAACAACTGGATAGTAAACTCAATTTTCCGTCTGTATTTTTGCTGCTCTTTCTTTTTAATGTGTTCTTTCATGTTCCTCTCCATGTTTTCTTACTGGCTGCCTCACAGTTGCTGAGTCGGAAGGACAAGGCCACGTTTGACCGGCTCGACTACCTGATGTCCAAAGAAGACAACTACAAACGTCTGAGAGACTTCATAAGCAGCCAGAGCATGGTTTCTTGTATACCATACCTAGGTAGGAGACAAATGCAAAAACCGGACACTCAAAGACACCGCATTGCTCAACTGCTTACGGTTGTTTTAAAATGTCTGCAGCAGACATTTGTATGTTCTTCAGAGGCTTATATAGGAAACTGCATGGTGTTTCGTCATGGATTGGATTGCTCAGCCAGTCCGTCAAAATTTATCAGAACACTTTCACCCCCCCCACTTATTTTTGTGGCAAACTGCACCTTTCCTCTGGCCTCTTCTCCTCTTTCATAGTGCCACAACAGTCTTTGGTTGTTATTTACCTTGACCTCTGGGAACTGTGACAAGCGAATGTTGGAAATTGATTTGAGTCGTTGTTGCACTCATCTTGTAGAATGTTTTAGCTGGAACAAACGCATTAATCAGTAAGGCATTGTAAAAAGAGAGACCTTAAAGAAACCTTTGGTTCTCTGGCCCAACAGGATGACATCACACAGGAATCCCTCCTGAGTGGTGCAGTGAAAAGGCTGATGCCCACATGCACGCTTTTATTGCTGTACTGTTTGTTCTTGTTTTAACTTGACAGTGACTCAGTGACTTTGATGTTCTTTGGTGCCCGGCTTTGTTTTTCGTCTTTTTCCAGCAGGCTCCTTTCAATAGCTACACCAGCACAGAAGCGTTGAAGCGTGTTTGTCGTTATAGAAATGTTTTCTGCCCATTCGCCTCCCCGTGTGCGCCGCTGTGGAAGGCGAGGAACGACAGATTCTGACACAAATGCAAAACCAGGGCTGTGAAAAGGCAAAACTCTTCCAGTTTGAATGTATGTTCTCGTTGTGTGGACAGAGGGAAAAACTTTCCGTCTGGGAACAGTTTGAATGATGTGTGAGCAACGACTCTGTCCTAAGGTGGAGTGTGTGTGTGTGTGTGTGTGTGTGTGTGTGTGCGTGCGTTAATATATGCCTGGGATTGTGTTTCCTTAGAAGATAGACTTTTCGGTGACGTACTTGTATGTGTGTTGCGTTACCAGCTGGACGGATTCAAAGTCGAGGAGAGCCAAGTTGGCTGAAAAGTTGGGAAATCTCTGCTCTCTTGCTCCCTTAATCATAAATTCACCCAAACCCTCTGAGAGATCAAAAACCGCAGCGCTTGTTCCACTCCTAATGTAAGTGTTGGGCTAGGGCGTGTGTAATGGATCAAATCCTGAGTTTCTCTTGATGCATTTATGAAGGTGGCTACTAAACAAAGTTCCTGTTGAACTTGGGCGTAAAGGTAGAATGAAAGTCAAAGCTCACAACAGAGTGTGTGAATGAATGCGTCTGTCTTTTCCCATTTGTGACCCTCCACTATGTTTCTGCCTTTGCTTCATTTGCGTCTGTAGAAGAGGAGTTGTGTGTTTGCCCTACAGAGAGACTTTTGATTTTTCTCTCGGTGCGTACAGAGGTGTGATTTTTGACCTGCTATTAGGCCGGCCAGACACAGCCCCCTGTTGTCTCTGAAGGCAACACTGCCACCCTGTTGAATTTGGTCTTGTTCTCCAATAAATTACAAGAGCACAAAGAGCTCTTTGAATTCCCAAAACGGACGCAAAATGCTTGTACAGGTCATGATCAATTCACCTTGTTCAGAGCAACTGCCGTCGGGGGCCAGTCGTGGTCAAATTGTGTGGCCACCAATGGACAGTTTCGGAGCTTCTTACTACCCAGTAAACAGCGATGCAGGAAAACAATGAGAAAATTATGATTTTAAGTCCTAAACTTGCACTTGGTTCCAGGCGGGAAACACAAGTAGTTACAAACAGTTGCAGATGTTAAAATGAGGCAAAGGATACGCGGCTGAATGGAAATTGCATAGGATATACTCTGAGTAATAAGCCTTGTAAAAATTTGATAGTCCCGGTGTAATCATATTTTATTTAGCTGTACTGCTGTAGTATGCACATTCATTTGGCCTGTGATGGCGGCGAAAGACTTCGCAGATGTCCGGAAAGGAAACGCAAGGGCTTTTTTGTGTTTCTTCTGAGTTGTGGTTGCTACGGGAGATGGACACCCGTGTATGGAGTAGCCAATTCACCGCAGTGGAAAAGTCCAGAGTAACGATTGTGATCAAAAACGCCCGCCAGCCAACTGGTTCCTGCCTCACACTTCTTTTTGTCAGCAGCCAGTTCGAGTTATATATGAATATATGAAAATACACCTTTTTTTTCTAGTAATGCTCTGTGACTTTATATGAAAGGAATGTGCTCCAAGTCCCTTCCAGCTGTCTCTCACTTTTCATCACTTTCTGCTCTCATTTTAATCTAAATTCTTCCTTCGTAGCATCAGTTAATGTCCTCCCACATCTGTCTGTATGCAATATAGCTCGTTTTGCCCCTGCAAAGCTGCTGCTCCCTTCCAAGTATCCCTCCTCATAGCCTTCATCTTTTCAAACTAGACAGATGTTTTGTTTCCTTTTTACTATTATTTTATGTTCCCCCTCACTGAGGTCGCAGCTGATGTTTATCCGGCCCTGAGTTTTCAGCGCTGCTTCTTCTTTTCACGAAAGTGTCAGATTTTTGTCGAAGGCTAGTTTTAAGTTCACAGCTGTTCCTTTCACAGAAATCCCTTTCAACAGTGAAAACTGACAGACAATTTAATGTTCATACAAGAATGTATTTATTTTTTTACTGTATGGCTGGCAGTGCACGTCACATGGTCTCCACTCTCAAGTCAACAAGAGACTGGATTTATTTGCGTGTATGCTTTTGTTCAAGTGTTTCTAAAGTATCGCTACATGGGGTAAAAAAAAAGACTTTTTTTATTGTTACAGGGATATTTATAAGATTGCAATGGTTGACTACACATACTATAAATACACCGATAAATAACAAAGAACGGTAGAGTGACAACATTGAACATTTGGCCTGAGTCAAATCACACCTCTTAAATTAACTTTTACCAAAAAAGAAAGACAATATTTACATAACAGCTCCAGCTCAGCCATATGCACATTGGATAAGCACATAGGGACTTGAGTTAACTCTCTTTTTGGTCAGTCATAAGAAACCCAAGGAGTCCAGGAAATCCTTGAAAAAACTAGACAGCAGATTTAGCGAGGCCTTGTATTTTCATTTGAATTTCAGATTATTCTGAAAACACAACTTTAAACGCACTTATTGAGTGTGTTACACATCTCAGTGTATTCAGGGGCCCATTCGATAGGAAGCGTTGTCTGCAAAGAGGAAGCTGCTCAAATGAAATCTACTGTTTTGGGAAATGACTACTCCCTTTTGATATGCCAAGCCTCAAGGAAAAGAGGGTGAATCGAGACACGCAACAGTAATACTGAGTGGTCTCGGGGATCTTGATGGGCAATTACTGTCCGATCTGATGGTGGAGGAGAGCAATTACTTAGGGAGAGCAGTGGGATCAGTCTTGGTTTCGGCCACTTCCCGGACTGCAGGAGTCATTATCGTCTGAGTAAGAGCCATGCTATGGCAGAGATACCGGATTCTGCCGTGACATCATTCACTAATAGGTAGAGGATCAAGCTGGAGATAGGGGTGCGATTAAGGGGAACCACATTTCAAGGTTTCAGTCAATTGGTCGAATCATGAGGCGAACGGATTTGAGAGAGTAGAAGCCTCCTCCGTAGTCTGCCCAGAAGATCCCGTCCTGGAATTTGCTGCGGTACACTCCCCCGCTGTACCACACGCCGTTCAGGTTGGTCTGACCACAGGCGTTGTACCACCATCCGCCCTTATGGAAGTGGGCGCAGTTACCTTCAAGGTGGAACACAGAGCCAAAGGACAAGGTCAGATCAAGCCGCCATCAATAACAAGCCCCAAAAAGCATTTGAGTTTCTTTGAACTACTGCACTGCCCTACCAGAGAAGGTGTCTCTGTCCCGGTCGAGTGTGGTAAACTGTTTGCCGTTGTGACTGCTGAAGGAGTCTCCGGCGTTGCCCTGGTAGGTGCCCAGCCTCAGTCGATAACCCTCGCTCTCGGGCTCCAAGTGGAAGCTGCTGTACTCGGCGTAGACCTTCTTCCCCGTCCAGTCCTCCAGCTCTATCATCAGCTTGTAGTCACCCTGTTTTGCCAGGTTAAAGATATTGTCCAGCCCAAGCCAGTGCTCACCATCGATGTTGCCGAATCCTTTCTGTAGGAGACAAGCGCCACAGTTTGATCTTTGGAAATCTGGTTTAGGTTTCCACAGCAAATTTTTTTTCTTTTTTTTTAATGGTGGTATTAATCTTAGCAACTCCCATAGAGGGCCAACTATTTCCAAAAAATACAACTCGAACAGAATTGCCTTAATCAAGCCCTTTTTTCTTATCTCCAAGTGATGAGTTTATAAGAGCCAGATCCTTTCTGTCGGGTGATATAGCAAATCAGCTCCCCGTTGAGACTATAATGTAGCAAAGATATTTTTTTTTTATGATTTCCCACTCATCAAATTATTGGAACGGTAGGAACAGGGGCCCTGGTTGCCTAGAAACTTGAGAATAAACACTAGAGCTGCTTAAGCACCATTCTCTGGTGCAAATGGTATGCGAGTATTTATTCCAAAGGGGCATTGTTTAGACAAGAGGAAACTTCTGCTTTTGTTTTTCCTCATAAAGAGAAAGCCACGATAAGTCCTGTTGCGGTTATATGTTTTTGTGAGCACTGAAAAGCTCTTGTATCATCATTCCTCACAACTTGCTCATTTAGATACTGGATGAAAAGTTGACTCAGGGCTGCGTTTCCCTCTCAGCCCCCAAGGGGTTCTCTATTGTGTTTATTTGCATGGAGATGCCTGGATGTAGTTCTTGGCTGCATTCTCAATGTGAGGAAGTCCACCTCTAAGCCTTTTATTCTATTGGACCAAGGTCTTGCTCAGTGACCCCAGTGACCTCTCGATAGAATTCCAGTTTTAGTTTTGGATTGTTTTTAACCTTCTTTTTTTTGTTTTTGGTTTGATGAACGTACCTTGTAGTTTTCCCAGTTCCGAAAGAAGTTGACAGAACCGTCTTTCCTCTTTTGCAACACAGTCCATCCCCCATTATCGAGACCATGTTCACACCAAGCTTGAATCAGTTGATCGCTTTTGTCGATCTTCAGTAAGTACATCCCACTGGACGTGTGGCCCGCCTGGCGTACCTGGAAACAGTCTCTGAAGGGACCTGGGGTGGAAAGGACATTTACAGAAAGGTTGATGCAAATAAAATGGGTGAAGAAAGTTGTCACTTTTGATTCTCACACAAGATATTAAATAGTGCTTCAACAGAAATCCTTATTTTAGCCTCAGCTTTGTAGTTGCTGGGTTTCTGAAAGTCTGTTAGATGAGAGATAAAAGGGAGACACTTCAGAGGGAGAGGGTGTCTGCTGAATCAAATGCTTTGAGGAGATGGATCACCATAGCAACCTCAGTCCATTAACATGACTCCCTCTATCCGGTCAAAGGGTTGCCGGCAGCTGAAGCTCGTGCCCGAGCATTCAGAAAATATTTGTTTTTAATCAGAGCACATATAAGAAATCAGACTTTTGCACTTAAGCAAGCATGTGAATATTCCCTTGGATTTATGCTTCATGCTGAAGGCGGCATGTAACTCTGTCCAGAACTTAAGTAGCTGGATGCGAAATCCAGCACATTTCCTGTGTCCCTGCTGTGTTAATGCTTATCAAACTGGCATTAACATTGGCTTTGTTTATGTGGGCGTTTCTCCACAGGGCGCATAGTTGTGATGTCCCTGGATGCGCATTCAAAACTTGCCGGCACAGGTTTGTGTTTTTTAGGGACGTCGTCATCATACTTAGTAAAGTTAAAAGTTTAAAAATAGATCCAAACATAACATGGCTTAAGAAAGGTTCCTTTAGACCAAACTGTGGCCTGGCAGTGTGTATTTACAGTTTTACTGAACCTACATGGAAGAGAGCCTGTTTAGGGGGCTGTAGTGGTTTTTCTTTCCCTGTATGCTGAGGAGTGTGTCTCTATGCAGACATCCCTTCAAACGGAAAAAAGAACATTTAGAATGGACACAGTATGCCATACATTCATAAGTTAGTCTTTTTATGTCCTCTTAATGGACAACCTGACTTTTGACCTTCAATGATCGCTTTATATTTCCTTCCTTTTCTTTCTCTCTCTCTTCTGAGGGGCTCGTAAAATAAGACTCCTTCACTTCCCGTTAATGGAGCTTAACATCACTGGAAAGTGGTGACAGCTTTCAGTTCTCAAAGGCGAGCTGTAGACCAAAACTGGATTTAAATGCTTCCTCTTGTATTTAAAATTTTTTTTTTTTTTAATCTCTTAATCATTGCACTTGTGTCAATTTACTTTGTGAGCCTGTGTGTGGTTTATAATGTCATGACAGTCAGATTTGTTTATTGAGTGATGCAAGATCGGAGACTGGCCTAAACGGGCTTAGTTAATGTAAACAGACCGATTTAGTTTTTCTTTTTTATGAATTGTTCTTTCTTGTATTCTTGTCATTTTTCTATGAATTATATCATGTTGACCTGCTCGCTTATTCCCACAGTTGGTTAAACAGGCATTGTTAATTCCCCTTTTGTGTGACTCCTGTAGGGAGTGATTTCATACATTTCACAGACGGCTTGTATGACATCTGTCGGCATTCCCCGCCGTACTCACATCGCCAGTCAAAATAAAGAGGCCTGAACTAAGTTCTGGGAGCCTTTTTCCAAGTAGCACTCTAACCTCGCAGATTAGTTTCATATTGGAGATGATGTTTTTCAGATGTCAGAATGAGTCCGTCCCTGTGAGACAAGCGCTAGCTTTGGAGAGGAGCGATTTGTATCTTAAAAGATTTTAGATTGTTCTGTGACTTAATGCACCTAATTCTGCACCAGAAATGTCCTGTTTACCCTCTGTTTCTCCTGTATGTGCTATATAGACATTGCAAACCCGAGTATGGCCTTGCGATAGGTACTTTTCAGTGCTGTACAAAGAGCCCTAATCCACATCCCACTAATTTACTACATATGCTCAATACAAAGCAGTCAGTGCAGCCAGTCAAGTGGGAACACAGGAATGTATGATATCACTGCCTCTGCAGCCCACTAAGGAAGAGCTGGTCGTGCCTCAGCAGTATCGTTTGATGTGTGGAAATGTTTTTAGTCGCAGTCCTTTGCTAATTGCGCAAAAGCAGCTGTTTGTATAATTAAATGGAACAATTACAGGAGTAACGGCCAATTCCCGATGACCCCTTTTTTAACTCGGCTTCTGTTTTCCTAAATTTCATTACTTCCCTTGTCGTTCTCATCCACTGCCTCATTGAAATTGGGACATACCGTCAGAAGTAAGTGTTCCCTGTGGTGGTGGAGGATCTATCCCAAAGGGGCTCGCAGTGGGTGAGTCTATGCGCGATCCTCTGGGAAATGCCCTGTTGTTGGGGTATCTGGGAATCTCGTTGGTAAAACGGTTGTTGACTGGTATGTTCTCCGGCACCACCTGCACCAGTGGAGGAACCGGGGGCAGCTCGCTGCGTCCCTGCGTCCTTAGACATTGCTCCTCCAGCGCAGCGATCAGAACGGACTGGTTGTTGACCACGCCGGCCATCATGGCAAATCGGCCCTCCAGCTCCTTGTACCTCGAAGCCAGTCGCATCATCTCTGAGGTCACATTCAGGACACGGTTCTCCAGCTGGGCCAGCTCCAGAGAATTGTCCCTTTTCCTGATGATCTCATGCAGCAGCTGCATATAGAGCTGGGTCACCCTGGAGTTCATGTTCCGGCTCTCCTTCCGCAGCAGCTTCATCTCATTCACCAAGTTACCATCTACATCTACCACCAGCTGCAGTGTCTCAATCTCACGCCGCTGTTTGTTGAGAACCTCTCGCACATCTGCAATGTCCATGCGGGTCACTCTGTCTTTGTCTGGCTCCGGACCCGTGGTGCTGGCGCAGATTGGACCTGAAGACAAGCACAAATTATTTATGGGATTAGCAAGAAGCTAATATGGTGCGATAGAAAGCAAAAAAGCCTTCCAGTGTTAAAAAAAAATCTGTACCTGTAATTCTCTGCTCGGGTACGAGGAATGTATAGGAGCACTTTTTTGCGTCTGGATCAACAGGAGCTCGTCTGTTCCTCTGGTGGGAAGGTTCTTTAGCACTCCGAGCTCCTCTGGAGCTCCAGCAGTGACTCCCCTTCCAGAAGGAGAGGCAGAGAAGAGCGCACAGGCTCCACATCAGCCCCTGCATTGCTGCTGGCGAGCTGCAAGGATTGATGGACAGCTACTGGGGCTCCCTCCAGTCCACCCTAAAAAACACAAAACTTTCAGTGTTAAAAGAAACACACACTAAGAAAAGGAACTCATTGGCTGTGGGTGTTTATTCGAGGCTCTCACATACATTGGAGCTTAAAAAGCCGCTCTTGTTTTGAACTTTTTTAAACACGCACAGTCAGTAATTGCTCAGCAAAGCCAGCGATAGCCAAGTTGTCACATGGCGTTCCATAGAATTTGGAAACGGACAGTCGTTATCGGTTCAGCCAACGGAACATGGTCTGCTTTATATCTCAAATGCATTCCCTGCTGACAGACTCTTAGCTCTTCTGAAGTTCTTGCTCCATAAGAAGTGGGACTTACTTAAGGATGCTCTCTCGGGTTTACCTTCAGGACAGCATGTGCAATTTCTTTTTGCCATGTGATGCTTTTGTTTTATACTTCATCTTTTTACATCGATCTTCTTATTTACAAACACCAAGTAACTTAGTTTTTTTATGACTGCTGTCATTCCTCCAGCTAACCTTTTTACTACTCTTAAAACATGTTTACTACAGGAATTCAAGTTCTAGTTCTGGCTTTTGCGTTGCAGCATAGTTCCTGCCCCTTGAATTGCAGTTATTTTTCTGAGAGTCCATAAATAAAACTTGAAAGAAAATAAAAGTTGCCTTGGCCCCATACAAGAGGAAAAACGAGGAAAAGAGGTTTTCCAGAATGCTTTTTTTCCCTTTTTTTTTTCCTTTTTCTTTTTCCAGTTAGTATGTCGTCTCATGTCAATATGTTTTGGCCATGTTTTCTGCCCAAAGGTGGGAACGGCCTACCAGTAATGTAAGTTACATGTCGTTACAAGTCCAAAATAGTTAATAAGACCCTTTAAAGACAAATCTTTCCTAATGCAAACAAAAAAGGGCATTTAGCTAAATTGAAGTTGTTGGATTTTTTTTTTTCCGATTCGGTTTCTAAAACACACCTGGAGTGGTTATATCAATTTTTTAGAGGTAAATGTGGAATATGACTCTTAATTTTGACGTGTAACTTTTAGAGGGATTAAGAGAAAACGAGTTTCACTGGCTAAATAAAAAAACAACTCTCGGCTTCAGGTTTATTGTCAGCTGTTTGCTGAAAACTATCTGGCCCTTTTGTCACAGTAACAGGATTGCTACCCACTCCATGCTGTAACCCAACCATGTAAAACACACTGACCCCAAATTCCAGTGCTGCTTCCTGTGAGATAGGTTAGAATACCAGCAGGGATGTAGGTAGGAGGTAGTATTTGTGTTTCACATGAAAGATTCTAAAAACCCTGGTCGCAACAGGGATGCGAGAAGAAGCAACAAAAAAAAAAAACGAAACGAAGAAAAAAAAGCGACATGAATATGGGAGGTGTGACTCCTGGCTCTTTGGGGCTCCACTCTTAGATCCTGATTGTAATTAGATTTTTTATTTTTTTTTTATTTGGAAATACCCTCAAACCTTTTAACACCCTGAGGGTTCCCTTGGTGCCACATCATTAAGCCGTACCTCCACCCTCAAATTCAGGCCCCGTGCGTCTCTCATATGACGCCATTGTGGTTCTTCTGGAATTTTGGCAAGTATGTCACTTGGAATAATGTGGAGAAGGGACAGGATTACAGCAAGTACTCCAGCCTTTGTGCGTTAGGGGTTTGCGTATGTGCATGCACAGTCGATGGAATGTGTACGTTTGTGCATCCATCTGTGTGATTGAATGCTGTGTGTTCATGACTATCCAGAGACGTTATTCATTTTCATGGTTGGGTGTTTTTCCAGTAGTCTGACAGTGTAACCAGGTACTGTATCCTTACTGACCTCAGTGGGAGCTGCTTAACGACTTTAACAGCAGCGCCAGCGGCCGTAGTTCACCAGTGTGTCCTCTTTAATAAACTGCAGCTTGCTTTTTAACATTTTAATGTCACTCCAACACCTTCAAAGATGTTGTCCCTATTCATTCACATCGTAGGGGGAATGAATGGGACAGGTACAGCTAAAGCTCATCCATCAACTACTAATGACAGCCGTCCCCCCATCCGTCTTTTTTCCTCCTTGTGTTTTTTCTTTCTCCACATCTGTCCCCTTGAGTTTGAATTTCTCCTGGGTGGTTGCCCTGAGGAAAAGGGGCCAAGCCTCTTCAACTGAACCACAACATATCAAAGACATTCCAGGAAACACTGAGAGGTCACTTTGTGTGTCGTGAAGGTACAAAGTTTACAGTGTTTCCTCAAAACCTGCAGAGACTACAGAAAAAACTAAAAAACACTTTTAAAGTACTTGAGAACTATTTGTCTCAACTATCTCAAGATGTTTCATAAAGCCCTAAAGTGCTCACCTGTCAGAGGGAGTAAACGCCTTCCCTATTGATTTAATATTTATTTCAGTTCGGGGTGTTTGCATAAAAGTAAACAGGCAGGTTTAATTGTGCCACGCACATGGACAGTAGCAGCTCTTCATCAGCTATGCTGCAGTGCTCAAAGCAGCAGGGAGATTATGCTCGCAGAGCCACACATCTGGAGCTTTTTAGCTTTAGAAACAAAACAAAAAAAACTAAACAAAACCAAAAAATCAGCAAGATATAAAAGTCTGTGCATACCTGAGACGACACTACTTGGGTGTTTCTTTACAGCCTGCACTTAATCCTGACACGTCAGCTGGATCAGCAGATGGGTTTTTGCAATGGTTTGGTGTAGTTTCTCTTCGTATGCATTACACGAGGGTCTTTATGACAGTCAGTGCACCAAATGGCCTTTCTGCAGATGGATTTATATACACTGGCCAAACTAGTTTGCTCTCACTCTCATGCACAGGTCCCTGCTGTTTGCTGTTGGTTCAAAATACATGGTGAGGAGCCTGAGTGTTGCAGCTGCGTCATGTGATAAGAGACAGGATCGTTGAGCTGTTTGGAGAAGAGACTACATAAACTGCACAGGGGAGGCAATAGGGGTTCGAAGAGATGACACAGACAGTAGCAGTTTAAAGATAGAAGAGCCCAAAAGTGCCCAAAAAAGTGGGTCATGGCCATTTTTCTTTTACTGGCCAGGCATCATGAAAATGACTTGAGGCAGATCCTCTCGAAGATTGAAAAGAAAAAAGATCAGCTCCCATTTGCTCTGTTCCTCTCTGCCTGTAGCCCTCCAACTAACGTGCCTTTAATGTGTAAACCATCTTCCGTTTCTTTTCCTTTTTGAATACTTTTCTCCCTCTTTGCTTTCTGTGGTGTCCTAACTCCTTTCATCTAAAGTTAAATAAAGGCATGTGGAAGTCATACGCTGTAAGCAGTGCTAAACGAGAGAAACGGAAAACAATTTTGCCCTTTATTGATGACATGATTTATCAGATATCTTTTTGGCTCTGCTATACAGTTTTTTTTCTCCCACAATGTCTTTAAAAACATTTTAAAAGTATTTGCGACAGTCAAGTTATCTTTACTTGGGTTTTGGCAACACTTCTGACCCTCTTAGTCTTCTGGATTGCTCCACTGGGTCCCCACTCCCTAATATTTCTTGATAATGTGGAGATGTGTTAAACAGACTCTTAAATCCCTCACTCCCCTCTGTCTCATCATTTTTCCTCCGGTTGGGGTTGGGGTCAGTTTATTCTCAATGGCAGCCGTGGAAACGGTCTGAGGGCAGAGCCTTCTCCCTCTGCTCATTTTGCCAATCACACCTTTCCAACTGGGAACAATTTTCAGCTGAACGAGACAACTATTCCTCTGTTTAAGCCTATTAGAAATATAGGTCGGTACCACGCCGACAGCTCTCCGGGCAGCTTCACACGAACAAAAGCACGCTTACATCGTTTTTGCTTCTTCGCAAAGTCCCCTATATTTCATCCCACTTACAAATGTGAAACAGTGTCGAGCTAAACGTCTGCATTAGATTGGTTTTGGCTCGCTTTATTTATAGTGACCACACACTCGCTCTGGAAACTGGTTCTCATCCACATTGGACGTGTGTGTTGCCTCCAATGGCGTGCATTAATCCTAATTAGCTTTGTGCTTTGGTAGGAGACTGAAATGATTATTCTCTGCATGTTGAAAGCGAGGAAATAACCAGACAACCCATTTAGCAAAATGACTGCTTATGTTACTTCCTGACAGGGAAATTTAGCTTTGAATCATTGGTTAAACTGCATAATGAATGTTGGTTGATACTTCAGAGAGACGGCCATATGGCACTCTTATGGCCTCAAGTTACACTGTATGCACTGGCGAAAAGCCTCTCGAAACGCAGATTTAGTTTTTAACTTGCAGTAACTGATTAATGTACAGACTGTTGGAATGAATATCCAACTTGCCGCGGGTGTCTGGTTTAAGCTCCAGTTGCTGTCAAATGTGTTCTTTCCATTGCATGGATAACAGTCAGGAGTCATCTCTCTAAAGAAAACAAACCCCGCATAAGCCCCTCGGAAGGTTTTAGAAATGCCAGGTCCAAGTAACATTAGTGCACAGGAGGTAAGGTGTGTTCAGACACCATGCAGCGATGCAAGGCTGTGCACCCATAAGCATCTGTGAGGAGAAGCTGTTTCCCAAGCTTATCTCTATTTGTGTAGGTTTTAGCACTCGGTGTGCTGTAATTTGCTTACACCGATGTGTCAGGTCTTAACCCAAGTGGATTGCAGCTCAGCTACAGGGGAGCAATAGAGTCAGGTCAAATTTATTAGGCTTTTTATAGTTAACGTATTTCCCAGCTTCCACTTCCACATCTGGTGCTCAGACTTTCCCGCAAATAGTCCAAAATGCCACAAAACACGCAACTCATCACTGCCGGTCAGGACAAAGGGCCAAAACGGTCCAACTAAAATCGGACGGAACACAAGACGGCAGCGGGACTGGAAGGAGGAACGATACACAGCGGCTTTGCTTTACATGACAACAAGCGGCTCGGCCAACTCTGGTGTGAGAGCTTAGCCAGCCGCCGCCTGCCTTCAGACAGACATCCACGCACTGTGACTGCAGCTACCATTTCTGTCCACGGATGGAAATTAGCTACTTCGCTATCTGGACGCGTTTGTGTTTTTTGCACTTGCAGAAATAATCGTTTATGGAGCCACATGTGGAAGCAACAGCTTCTAATTTCCGTGAAGATTTAAACGCAGAAAGTGGGGAGCCAAGCAGTTGCTGAGAAGAGCACAGTGTGAGTGAGGAATGCAGCAAAGCTGCTGACATTATAAAACAATCAATGGAAACAAAGAAGCGTGTACACTGAGAAGCACTTACGACAAAGAAAAACTCATAAAAGCCTCATCCACAAAACCAAAACAGCCTTCCAGGGATCAAATACTGCCTCTAATTACAGTGTAAATTCTACAGTATTAACGCTGCCGTTTTATATCTATGATGTAGTAAGAGCTGCTGTTAATTTCTGTTATGTCCTGAAGCATGTAGAAGTTTAGATTAAAGCTGTGTAGCACTGATCCAGCGCTGTGGTTAGAATATAACCAGCCCTTGCAGAGAGGATCTTTCCACCTCCTGCTTTCAAAGCACGGAGTTGTCTCCCCTCATGATGCCATATTAGTTCAGAGTGAAAACCCCCAAATCCCCCTGAGGCCCCACGGGCCCCCATCTGTTTTGCTTCTTCTGTAGAGAAACTCCGAACATGTGGGCTGATGTTGGGGTCAGAGGTCTATATGTGGGATTAGGGTGCAGCCCCACCCTTCCTCTGCCTCACCCACCCACTCGTCCGCTCCACAAATCCTGCAATCAATCGGTCTTTGTGGAGAGCGAGCCTCTTTTTCCTTTCTTTCCGCTGCACAGACATTCTGAATTTTTAGGTAAGCGTGCACCAAGTCCATGTAAGGACATTCCTTTGTCTCTCATTATTAGCCTAGATGAAAAATTCTCAACTCTCCATCACACTGCGACACACTCCGGCCTCCCCCACTGCAAAAGGAACACACAGAACGTCCCCTGCGCTCCGTTGAATCATTTTTAATCTTGCATATCAAATCCCCACAGTGCGCACCACTAACGACCTCATAGCCCGGTAATGGGTAACCCAGGCTGAAGACTTGGCTGACAGGTGGCTCCTCTCCTGAACTGAGCTGGTAAAACGACACGTGGCTTTGAACGAATGAAAAGAGCTGGAGGAGAGTCAGGAGAGAGAGGAGAGCCAGGATGAGGTTAGCACTGAAAAGTTACAGCATTTGCTTTGGCTGCACGTCGGAAAACTTTTGGTCTTGAGGACATGGCTAGCAGCCCCCCCCCCCATGCAATCTTTGTTGGTTCACCTTAAGCTCTCTCCTCGACCCGCACATGCTTCCTATTAGCTGAATCAACACGGAAGAAGACATAAATTTGCTCAAACAGCATTACGCTCTTATGCCCACTGCCTGCTAAATTACATGCCTCTTCCTCCTCTTGGCTGTTGACCCCGACCCCCCCAGCTGACCTCTTGCTCCCAGTTGTGACCTGCCTGTTCAGCTGTGTCCAGCTGTGCTCATTAAGGGGATTTCAAATGAGCTTTACAGCGTGGATGCACACTTATCTTCAGCTTTTGCAGCAGCTGCTCCAGTCACCTGCTGTGTAGTTTGTGGCTGTGTGCTCTGCCTGATGGCCATTTATGAGATAGGCCAGGGAGTTTTTAAAACTTTCTATAGAATGGAGAGGTTGGGGGTTATGAAAATGCTCAGTTTTCGTGTAAATTGCTAGTAGTGACCCATTTAAAAGTGTTTCCTTTTACTGCACACAAGATTCAGGTGGAACTGAGGGCCATTCCAGCACGGAATGTTCTCGGCATTTCTCTGACAGCTGCCTCTGCTTCCTATTTATCTTTTTAGCCTTTTCTCCTCTTTCCCAGCTTGAGTTATTTGAGGTATTGATTTAATGATTTATTACTCATAGGAAAAAGAAAAAAAGGAAAATGGGCTGTTTTCTTACCCTGAAGTTCAGACTCTCCCTCTCTCTCTCTCTCTCTTTTTTTTTTTTGAAGGCCTGTTCGTCTGTCATGGTCAGTGACAGCATTCACAGATGTGGCTTGGTGTCAAAGCAGAATCTTTTCCTCAGATCCCACCAACCCACCAGGGGACGCAAGTGCCGGCATTTGTGAGCCGTTGACACGGATCAGCACAGACTGATGTTGTTAGAGATAAAAAACCCTTTTGCTATCACAACAAGGTTGTGACTGAAATATCTCATGCCCGCGGGGTGTATTGATACAGGATGTGGTTGTAACCCCCCCCAGCTCCTCTCAGTGAATGGTGCGTGCACCTTCATAGAAGCGGTGAACTGAATGAGCTACACTGATTGTCTGTGTGTCACGAGCAGGAGGACGCGTTGAGAACATGTCACCGCCTGGTTGTGTGCACACGATCTAACTCCTTTCTAGGTGAACTTGGCCTCTTCACGGCACCCACCTCAGAGGCCAGGCTCTGTTTTTAAGGGGACCAAAAGCAGAGGAAAAATAAACAAGGCTCCCCCCTGAACTCAATCTCTCCATCTGATCAGATAATGTTTCCCTCAAATGTGCGGCTGGAATGCCCCATAGTTTCTTTCCCTTCACCCTTATTTCTCTCTTACTCTCTGATTCATGTTCGTTTCAGTAAAAGTGATTGTTTGTGAGAGAATTTGCCAACCACACAAAAGATGCCGGCTCCTGCACTCTGGAAATGCCAAAACCACTTATGAGTACTTGCTTTCCCTGGCACAAACGGCACCGATTCTTGATATCTTTCCATTCCTAAACATGATACACTTCTTAACATGCTGTACACAGAGTGTTCCAGTTGTAGCCAAGAGGAAAGCCAGAGAAGCGTTGCTAAATGTTTCTGCCTGCAGCTGCAACCTCCAGTCACGGAACATCCTAATCTCTCAGCCTCTCACAGCTGCCCATTAACACAAACACGGTCTTGCAGACACATTCCAAAAACACAATTGAAAACAGAGCTCAAACTCGGCCCACTTTTACCTTTTTTTGTTAATAGCACTGAGTTGTGTTGTTGTCCCGCAGTTATAGATTCAAGTGGGAATTGTATTGCGTCTTCACCGAGCTGCAGCACTCAGGACTCATCTCTCTGTCCCTCTTTTTGTCCCAGTCCTCTAAGGTGCTCCCCTCCGCTTACGTCTTCTGTCCTCAATGCAGCTGTGCAGCACAAGGCTCAAGTCAAGGCCCCACTTCCCAGAGATGTTCTTCTCTGCGTTAGCTGTCCTTGGGCTCAGGCTGGGGCATGGTTCAAAAGCCGGCTGCTTGCGCAGACTGAGCCCAAACCTCTGTTGCTTTGAGTTTTTCACAAAGGATGGAACCTAGAGGAGGGAGGGGAAGGAGGAAGCATGGGGAGGGGGGGATGTGTGCTTTAGAGATTGCTTTTCTTTTTCTTTCTTTCTTTTTTTTTGTGTGTGTTGCCGAGCCTACCTCTGATGTCACTGATGGAAAAAATACATAAAAAGTGAATAACAGAGCTGCCTCATTTAACTTCCACTCTCAACTTTGGCTTGTTCTCGGGCTCAGGACAGGGTTTGTGTGAAAGGAGACTTTTTTGGAATTCGAGTGTTTTGCCGAGTTTAGAGGGAAGGTACGGGCCGCTTTGACCCCATTTGTTCTAAATCACAGTTCTAAATCTGCCTCCTCCTTTTGAGCCGTGTCCTTTAGTCATGGGAAGAGCTGATTGTAATGCTGTTGGGGTCTCTGGGCGCCTTCCTGTCGCGAACAGCTGGACAGAGAAACAGGCAGATAAAACTGATTTGTGTTGCTATCGGAGCAAAACGCTTGCTCTGTGTTGAGTCTGAGCTCGCTCTCACCGCCATGACTTTCCGAGTTCCCAAGAAAAGAACGGTTATGAAATATGTGAATGATCTTTTTTTAAGATGACCAGCTCAGGAAAGCAGCCACACAAAGATATATCTTTTTTGGGGGGAGGGGGGGGTGTTGGTGGAGCAGGCAGTATGGATTTGTGCATGACTAACTGCTGTTATCCCCCGAATGTTCACAGAAGAGCAGCTATAGTGGTTAAGCCTTCAGGATTCCCTCTCTTCTGCTCTTGTCCTCATCCTTCATGTTCCCCCTGACAGCCAAGCCTTGAAATGCTTGTAAACCGCCTGTTCCCACCCTCTTACACATTATTTTTTTTGTTTTTCCATTCACTCACATCAAATGTTGTGTTGTCCATGCTTTACCATGTGCTAAAGCATAATATGTGCACTATATACTAAAGACAGGGATTTTTGTATCATTCATTTGCTCTTTAGCTTCTGCAGGTACATTGTTGTAAATACATCTCCATGTATCAGTGTGTGGGAGGGGTTTCAGTTTCATCCCTGTTTCTATGTGTTAACGTTTCTGACATCTGCACTCAATCCTGACGCTGGCTGGAGGAAGGAACATTGAGCAAGACAGAGGGAAAAATGGAAGGAAAGGGACATTATGGATGCACTTCAGAAATGTGTTCATCTCTCCTTCTCCTCAGAGTGGTGGAAGACAGCTCCCTGGTTTGCTTAATGTTAATATTTATTCAATGGGAAGCTAAGAGTCTTAGCTCTTCTCTGAGTCTGCCAAAAAGAGGCAATGAGAGGGGGAACTGGAGGCGGTGAGAGATGGCCTTGAGTTGGAGAGTCTGAGGAGAGGATCTGTCATCCACCAGAGTCCTGCGGGGGCAGATTAGGGAGCGAGACACGTCTGTTTCAAACTGATGCAGAGCATATTCTAAAGCACAAGTTTGTACAGGATTCTCTCCCCATCTGTTCTGCGCCCATGTATTATCAAACAAGCAGTCTGCATTTGCCAGCTGGTCCAGGACCAACATGTTTGATGCACAACACTTGCATCATACACCCATGGAGGGTGTGTGTCTCTATTCTGGCTCTATTTTGCTGTCCAGACTTGTTTGATACATGTTTTCTTTCTAATGAGCTGAGCGCTATGTGCAAGAAGACAGAGGGACACTGTCATCGTGTGGCTTGACCCTCTGTTCAGTGAAGATAAACTATGTAAGGGAGGACAGTTTCACTCTTCTCATTATTAAAGTAACGCATCTATTCTTGTGTCTCTTTTATTTCAGGGATGTACCTGTCTGATCTGACCTATATAGACTCGGCCTACCCCTCCACAGGTAGCATACTGGAGAACGAACAGAGATCCAACCTGATGAACAACATTCTCAGAATCATATCGGACTTGCAGAGATCTTGTACCTACGGTGAGGCTCAGACAGCCACACACATTTGCCTGATAACCAGGCTCCACAGAGGTTAGAAAGACAAATGTGGATTTATGTTTTACTACACTCGGAAATCGTCTGATTAATCTCATGTCGCAGCTAGCTCACAAATCCTCAGTCCTTCCAGAGAGCTGTCATACTTGTTGTAGTGTGGGGGATCAGTCATGCACATATTTTTGTTCTTCTTCTGATATCTGTCCATTTCCTCTCTCGCTCTCAGACATACCAGTGCTGCCTCACATACAGAAGTATCTGAACTCCGTCAGGTACATCGAGGAGCTGCAAAAGTTTGTGGAGGATGAAAATTACAAGTAAGAAATGGATCACTCCGAGCAGCGCATCTGCTAATGCAGCAGCTATCTGCCAACTCGCCCACAAACCTGACATCTTTCGAAACTCTGACATTGGCTGTTTCAGGTTGTTGTGGTGATCGTGGCTTCTTTTATTTTTCTTCATAGGTTGTCACAGAAGATTGAGCCAGGTACCAGCACGCCCCGAGCCAACGCCTCCAAAGAGGACCTTGTTGGTGAGTTTGAGTGTCCATCGTCAATGCACAGATCTTTTTCCCTGTTTCCCCATTTCCAAAATCTGTACCTTACTCTAACTCTTACAAGCAGGTCAGGAAGCATCAGCATCCCCTCTGTGCGGCCGCAAGTGTTCAGTAGCAGCTGAAGGAACCAAAGTCCCGGCCACACCTCCATCTCCCAGAAACCTGCTGCCCTACGGACACAGGAAGTGCCACAGCTTGGGCTACAAGTCAGTCCTTTTTTTCAGCTTTTGCTGGCGACGTCCTCCACATATTTAGACTTTGATGCAAATGTCTGTTGTCTTTGTGTACCTCTTCAGTTTTATTCACAAGATGAACACGGTGGAGTTTAAAAGCGCTACGTTTCCTAACGCCAACTCTCGCCACCTGTTGGACGACAGTGTGTTGGAGAGCAACAGTCCCACCAGAGGACAAGCAGAGAGCTCCACCTTGTCCAGCGGCATTTCGCTTGGTTAGACCTAAGATCTGATTTCTTGCAAGCATGCGCACTTTGTGTCTTCTTTGATATTTCCGTGATGATTCGTGTATTCTTTGCAGGGAGCAGTGAAGGCTCTGAGCTCAGTGAAGAGATGTCTTGGCCAGCTTTTGAAAGGTAATCCATCCATGTCCGCAGTGCTCTCCCATCACATTCATATGCAAACGCTGGTCATAAAACACTCGCACCTCTAAATGTGATCGTCTCAATTTTACCGCTCATGCTAAACAGCCTGCCATTAAAGCTGACACGCGCCATGCACTGCATTGCTTCTGAGATGAGGCCTTCATGCCCCAGCCCTCCATCTTTTTCTCTCGGCCGTCACCAGAGACATAAAAGGGCTTATTTATCATGTGCTGATTATTTCAATATTTAAACAAACAGTGCCCCTATGTGAACAAGTGTACAGAGCCATACTTTAAGACCTTACAAAAAAAAACTCCTCAGCTCAAGGCTCCTCTAGCCAAAATATCACTCTAACTTATTTCTTTAAACTCTAACCAAATGACTGCTCTCCATCTTGCCCTAACCCATCTAAGGCAAACAGAAAAAGATCAACCGAAGAGCAGAAACAGCCACGTAGCTTAACGGTGTCCCATGCCCCCTATCCTGTGCTATCCTATTTTATCCTATTCCGAACAGGACTCGCTTCTATCATTCTCTGGGCCCTGTGACCCGTGTGGCCCGCATCCCCTACAGAGGAGTCCTGAGGCCCAGCAGGTACAACCACCCTGACCGGAACCAACTCGATCTGAACGAAACTCTCTCTTACCCTCACTTTTTGCCCGTCAGTCACTGGCGGCGGGTTGCTGTGTGCTGATGCTTAGCGTGTAGTGCTGGGGTTATCTTTAGAACAATTGGAAATAAGTGCGTCTGTCGGTCAAATCACGAATCAGGTGAAGGGCAAATATTGATGGGTCTTGTTACAGCAAACTATCATTCTATAATCCACCAATAACATTCTTCAGTTTCCTGCATGTCTGTCTCGCTGTCATATACACAGTTTGGCGGGTTGAAGCCGACATGTCTGAGTCTCAGAGTTAACAGAAGGGTTACAGTTAGAAAAATAAGATCTGTTACACACATTAGCATTAGATAAGATGCTTGATGACAAGACGACTCTTGTTACAAAGCATTGCATTTGCTTGAGTTTTCATTTTCCCAATCCCTGAAATAAGGATCATCCAAGGTATTTCACATTTTGGATCAGAAAAAGAGTTTCCGCAGACACGCTGCACTCCACATGTTGCTGGCTGCAAAACGTTAGCTCCCCATTCCTAAAGTAGAAGAGAAGACTTCAGAAGTACTCCAGCCAGTTCTCGTATTGCTTGCATATTAAGCTTCTCTCATGGGTCTGGATGGTGTCTCTCCTTTTTGCTCTCTCTATAGGCTTCTTCTCAGAGCACCCTGCTCTGGCCCTCCAGACAGACAAAATCTGCATTCCACCCTGCTCACCTGGCATCTTCCTTTTTTTTTTTTAGGGATACCATTAATATCTTTAGTGTCTGCCTTGGTGCAAAATAAGACCGAAATGGGTATTGTTTCAAAAAGAGGCAGCAATAAAGAAGCAGGGTTAAAGGTGTTTTTGCAGATCCTGTTTGCCTGTGCTGCTAGTTGATCTCTGCTCCTTTTGCATATTTGAGATTGACTGTGTGTATGTTTGCATACTTAGCGTGTGATGTTTGTTTCTGTCCTGTTGCAGCTCGGCTGAGTCAGAAGAACTTGCCGTTCATTTGTACCCGGGAGCAGTGACAGTGCAAGGGGTGTTGAGACGGAAGACTGTGCTCAAGGAGGGCAAGAAACCCACAGTGAGAACACACATCTTAAATACCTCCTAAAAAGATGAATCCCCATATGATTTTTCCCCCATACGGGAAAGCTTGGAACAGCCTTTAGAACACCTTTTTTCCCCCGCTTTGTTACAATATTAATCTCTTTTGTTGGCAGGAAGCAAATCTGGTGCTTCCCATACTTGCGTTCGCATACACATAACTTTTTCTTTCTCCAGTTTAAGTGGAATGTGTGGCTCAATTTAGCTTTTCCACACAGGTCGCTGCTTGGACAAAATACTGGGTCGCTCTTTGCGGGACCCAGCTATACTACTACCCCGCCAAGTCTCTGAAGGCTACCGAGAGGAAACATGTAAGTCACACAAACACACAAGACCGTGATGGGTGGAGGGGGGGTTGTGTTGTTGGGCAGGTGAGGCCTTGGCGTCCTCGGAAAGGCAATGGTTTGGAGAAATGAGTGCAAATGTTCCAAGTGACTCCACAACACCATCTGTTTTATTAGGAGGCAACACGTGATAGCCATTACTTACTCATTCGTAAAGAAGTTTCATTACAAAAGGAACTCTTCAGGAAAAACACTTAATGGTTCTTCTTCACATACTCGGGAGAAAATGAAGGCCTGCCCGCTTTGTAGCTGTAGTTTTGTCGTGATTTAAGAACAAAAAAGGGTGGGTGTGTGTGCCGTTTGGAGCTCTAACGAGAGTATTTGCTCTTACCATACTAACCATACCATACAGCTGTGGCAGGAAAAAAAGATGAGGGGTGGAATATGAAAGGACAAAGCTTAAAAGTTTTACATGCCTGTGTTTGTTTGTTTGTGTGTGTGTGTGTGTGTGTGTGTGTGTAAAAGGGACTACACAGATGGTAGCACTCATTCAATAATGGGACCAGTGACATCACTGCAGTCTTGTGTGTCACTTTAAGGCTAATGAGAACCTTGTGGAGCGCAAATGAAAAACTGAGGGGCTACATATAACACTTGTGTTGATATATCCTCTAAAATATTCAGCTCCTGATGACTTGAGTCCCTTTCCAGCCAGCCCACACATGATTCAAGGTTACACAGAAATTCTGCACACATCAGACTGCCCGCACATTTCTCTGCCACTAAGCAGATTACTGCGTTTAACAGTTTCCTGCAGTACCTATAAACTGTATATGCCAGTAATATATACAGTCTATTTAGCTACCACACAGCTCACAGTCTGTGTTTGGGCTTCACGATTTATAACATTTTGTTAAGACTGACAGATACTAGCTGCCAGGTCGGCTTTTTTTTCGTTCATCTTTCCTCTGTACCCCTCCTGAGCTGGTTTTAGAGGCTGGAGCCTGTGCCGTCTGCTTTTCGACCAGGATGAGCCGACCATTCAGCCAAATGTGGACAGAAAAGGGAGGAGCTGTGTTTCCAGTTTGGAAGTTTCCGGCCTTTTTAGAACAACCGGAAAGATTTGCGGAGACACTGTTGATGCTGTGGTTTGCATTGGCAGCTACAAATCTATCCCCTTCAACTGGTCACTCCAGTTGGAAGACAAAGAGCCAGTGCTGCTCCCAGCCATTAAATATCACAAGAACCATCAGATCCAGTTAAACAGACAAGAGTCTGATGACATCACACAAGATGATCCCTCAAGGCAAAATCAAACGATGCAGCATTTGTACCAACTAAGACAAAGATAGTGTGTGTATGTGTGTGTGTACATATGCATAAATGTAGATTTTTGCTGTTTTGGGCATCTTTGTTCTGTTCCATACAGTATTGTCAAGGTCTGACAAATTGTTGTATTCTGACCAGTTCAAGTCCACATCCAGCAAGAGTGTGTGTGTGGTGGGCCTGATGGCCATGATGGCTGATGATCCGGAACATCCCGACGTCTTCTTACTGACTGACTCTGAGCACGGTGAGTCACCCGCCATTGTTTTTGCTTTTTTTTTTTTATCGAGCCAAACACATTCATGTTGTTTGCATTTACTCTAAACAATACATTGGATGGTTTTTCCACCTCCTTTACACGTTAGTCGTGTCCTCTGTTTTATCGGGCCGTCAGAGTGGGGTGTCGGCCATCGCCGTAGTCTGTTCACAGCACAGGTGGCACCAAGAAATTCAGCTTCTCACAAGTTGGACTCTGTTTTCTAGGTAACACCTACAAGTACCAGGCAGGGAACAGAATGAATGCTCTGCTCTGGTTCAAGCATCTGAGTGCTGCCTGTCAGAGTAATAGACAACAGGTATGAAGTGTCTCTCACAAACACACACACACGAATATAGTTGACTGTTCCTCGCATTTTGTAAATATCCGTTTCTCTACCAGGTGCCAGCCAATCTGATGTCATTTGAGTGACTGAAGCTGAAGAGTCCGACTGAGCAAAGGAGAGAAGAATGAGGAAACCGATGAGGAAGAGCACCAACTCAGTAGTGGGAGCTTTCACTGCCATGAGCCCCGACAGCCGATTCTTCGATTCTAGCCCGGCCTCACTTCAGCCTCACCTGCCACCACTGCCTTAACCAGAGTTCCTTGTGTGTTTGTGTCTGTGTATGTGCGTCTGTGTCTATGTGTGTGTGTGTGTGTGTGTGTGAGAGCACGTCTGTGTGGACAGAAGTGACCGTTCTGGATGTTTTGACTACTGAACAAGGACCTGCACCACTGCTCTTGTCTCTGTTTGCTCAGTGTCTTTTTGTCCAGCACTTCAGTGGAGCCCTTTTGCTTTTACTCCTCCCGTACAGACAAACATTCCCTCGGGAGGGAAAGTGTTGATCCTGAGCACCACGTTTCTTCTTTTTGAAGGGGTATGACAATTTTACTCCCATCCCCCTCCATGCTAAAATGTAAGATTTCCACCTTTTATTTGACTGGATTTGCAACACACACACACTTGTTGGAAATCAGAGGGCCAGAGAGCGTCTTTTTTTTTGTGCTTTTTTTTTGCTTATAGGTTGCTCATGTTGGCTGAAAGACACGATTATTTAATGATCCATTCACTCACACACACACAAGCCTCTTTGGTTGCATCCCTGTAAACATAAGGGCTCTGTTTCAGTCAGATTTGGTGGAATCAGTTGTCACATTTCCTGAATGTGTCCAGTTTTTCTTTCTTTTTTCAATTACGTTGTCATACACAAAAGGCTCATTACTGACTAGTCTGTGTGTGCATTCGTAAAATTGTTAGTTTAAATCTGAGGATTTTTGTCTGTGGTCCACATGGATACAATATTCCCAGAATTGAAGCTTTAACCTAAGTTTTCTTTGCTCTCTGTCGTCCGGCAACCACCCGTCACCGGATTCACACACACATAAAACACTAAGAACTTGAAGCTGTGAAAAGAGTCCAAAATGGTAAGAAACAGGAACTCCTGATACAGGATTTTATCTCTTCTGCTCCTTGTTGCTTGTGATGGTTAGAGCACGGTCTGGAGCAAAAAAAAAAAACTCAAAGCTACCCGTAGCCATAAAGAGTCTATTTTATGTCTTGTTTGTTTTTGTTGTTTTGTGTTGTAAGTTGTTCTTTTTTTGGTGGGGAAGGGCAACGGATGGCGCAGTTCACAGTATTACATGTAAAGTAGATTGCACAGCTTTGTAGGTTTGTCTGTTACATTTGAATGATGTTCTTTTTCGTTTTGTTTTTTCTTTTCCATTTCCTAGCATTTATTTGGAATATTCTATAAACATGTGAAATTTTTTTTTCTTTAAAAAGTAAATCAGCCCCATATCCCAAATAGAACTCAGTTTGACTTTTTGGAAACAGCATTAGCGTCTTGGTAGTAATCAGTGCCAAGTGACGTTAGCATTGCTGTTTTTCCTCAGGTTGACTGAATTTTAGGAGGGAGGGGGGGGCAGCAGTGTAAAGAGGCCTGTCCTTACAGGGTTGTTTCAGTGTGAGGCAAAAGAAGAAAAAAAGGCGATTTACAACTTTCAGTGCACATCAAAGATGTGCCAGTGTGCCACAGAAAGAGTATTGTGTTTTTGTTTTTAATATGAGCCGAAGGATGGTGAACTTTCTTGTTTTGTTTTGGCCCCGAAAAATTCAAACATCAAATCTGAATCAACTTTTTTTAACCAGCTGTTTACATTGTATGTTTACACAATCTTTTGCCTAATCTCTTCAGTGCTCCACGCGTGCTGTGGAAGCCGGTGGTAGATTTCCCAGCTATAGCGGGGCCTGTCGGGGACAGGTCCGCTCCACTCTAAAGGGTTTCACAGCCTGTCCTCTCCCCCGGGTCAGTGTCTACTTCAGACGGACAGAGACTGTCCTCAACCCAATACGTCATGTAGTCGACCAGCTCATCTTAGCTACTCTTGTTTAGGTCAGACAGTCCATTTCAAGAGATGCCCACTTCTGTGCGTGTTGTCCTAAAGCCGACGAGAAAGTGGACGAACCTGTGGTAGAACGAATGAGGAAGCCAAAGACAGGCCTGTGTAATGTGACAGTCGCTGCGAATATGTGTGCATTTGAATGCCTGTGCATACGTCTATTTTTCTAAAGCAATCTAATTGAAGCCAGATCAGGCAATCCCTGGAGGCTGCCCCCACTGCTGAGCAGTGGGGGGGGGACCAGCTCACCCAATCATCTGCGCGAGTGACTGCCAGCTCCCGCTACAACGCCACACTGGGTTGTGTTTTCCTGGAGGTGTGAAGAAAGAGGACCTTATGAGCAGATAGGAAGTGGACACTGAACTCATCTGTCTTGGCCCACTGAGGGGAAAAGAGACTGGGAGCGACAGACAGAAGAGCCGCGGAGACCGACAGGTTTATGACCACCGCCGGCTGGCCAAAAGGGACAAAGAGGCTTGTGAATAAAACGGGTTATTGATTTGAAAACCTTTCAGGACGGGCGGTCTAGATTGTCGTACCGTGCTCAACCACGGCCGCCGGTAGCTCTCGCTTTGAAAAGCTCACAAGTGTTCAACTAGCTCCAAGCTGAAAAGTATTGTTTGCGCAGTTAAACGTGGATCAAGGGGGGAAAGATTTGAATTTGCAGAAGGACTGTGGACACTAGTAGCTGGGATGGAACCAGATTTTCGACAGTCATCTTTTTTTTTTCCCTTTCTTTGTATTTTCTTTATCAGATGCTGAATGACAGCAAGGACAGGAAGAAGAAAAAAAGATCAATGAAATGACAACCTTTGTAACTAAGGGGAATTCCGGAGTATCAAGTTTTATACCTATCCGGTGCTTCAGTGGCATCTTTGAAGGTTTAGATGAATTCATTTGAGTATAATAATTGAATCCTTCCAGTTTATGCCAAGTTCTTTTTATTTTCTCTTTGCTCTTACCTGAGTTTACATGATTATTTTTCTTTTTCTTGGACTAGGGGTTGTGGAGTATATGGTCAAAATAATGGAAACATGTTTAATTTGAGGGTGTTTCAGTTTTTTCCTTGGATTTTGAGCCAAATCACTACTAACTTTCTAGCCCTTTGATCTATTTTTGGCTGAGAGTGGGAAAATCCAGTTGTACACCACTCTTTAAAGTCATTTTTCTTTTCGGTTTTTATGAAGAATCTTGAATTCCGTGCTTTAAAATCCTCTGCTTTCCTTGCTTGTGTTGTTTCCTTTAAACTGAACTCGCCGTCTTGAAAATGCACACTTTACTGAACTCTCCTGTATTAGAGTGACTCACCCTCTGAATTCAGTCCTTTTTAGTGGTGTCATGCAAAACCTGATTTTCCAGCAGAAGAAGTGTTACTTTACTCTTTGAACCAGTGTGGCCGTGTGCCGCCTGGGCACCGGTCGGGCATCTTTCACTGTTTACCGAGGACAGCCCCAACAGCAGCCTTGGTTTAAGTCATAGAGGATGAAGGGTGGGGGGGGGGGGTGACAGAAATGACCTTTACCTGGCTCTGTGTGTCTGTCTCTGCCTGTTTCTTGACTGTGGCCAGCGCTGTGACCTCACTTCTGAGCGATGTGCTGCCTGGTGTGAGGACTGAGAACCAATAAACACTCTGCCCTGTTTTTTTACTCCACACCTTAGCTCTCTGCGTGTCATTCTGTTGAGGTTGTGTGCGATCATGGAACTGAGGCGCCGTGGGTCCTGGAGCCGATTAGCAGTCAGATCCAGACCCCGTCAAGCGTAGGAATATTGGTTCAGAGCAGTTCCAGTGTCAGAGTTGCTAAATTTGTTTGAGGTTTGGACATTTTTGATGTTGTGACCTCATCTTAAAAAGTATTGCTTTTTTTTTTTTTTAAGAGCCTAAAAGATTCTTAAGTTGAAATATCAAGGTTAGAGGCATGGCTTATATTATGTTGTAGGCACATTTAGATCAGGATGCATTACTTTTTCCATGTTATGAAAACATCCATTACGATATAGATGTAAGCTTTCAATCATTAAAAATGTTAAAAAAAAAAAAAAAAATCAATAAAAGTTCCTAAACAAAGAGTCAATCACATAAGGGGATTTGATTTTGTTGTCATCAAAAGATGGTATGAGAATGCCCGTTTTTTTGTCACCTTGTTTTCCACTTTTCTCATGTTTGTATCAAATATCCCAATAAAACTATACAAGTATCAGTCTTTGAAGCGATGTAACACCGAAATCTGTGACCCCAATCCTCAAGTTTTATAGTGTTGTTTTTGTAATTGACACAAGTGGTAATGCTTGTTTTACACTTAACTTGTACATGGGGTTACAAACTTAGCTACAGCTGCAAAACAATTGCTTTTAGTGCCTGTTAAATACATATTCTGCACATATATGTAGGGCAGAGAGAAGGGGGAAATAAGAGATTGTGGGAAAACGCAGTAAAAATGAGACTATAGAGGTTTTTATATTTATTTGTTTATTGTAATGGTGGCATGACCTGACTGAATATGGACATGTCCCAGGAGAAGCTTGCGGGTGGTTGTGGAAATGGGAATAAACCCGATCTCTGCTTTGCGGGAGCGCAGTTAGAGGGGCTGGTAGTGAAACATTGACCCCCGGTGGACTGCACGAGCCCGTGCAACGGGGACAAGTGTTTCGGAAGTGGACGCGGCAAAGCAGAGTAGAAATGGAAGAAAAGGGTGGAGGAAAGAGAGCAGCCGAGAGAATTTAGAAAATGACAGTGACTTTGCACCCAGCCAAATAATTGGATGTGACTTCAGTCTTGCTGGTGCTTGCGGACAACAGCAAGCTACCTCATATAATATGAACAGCACATGGACATAAGGTAAGTCATGAGCAGTTGATTGTCACTACGCCGTCTAGCTAGCTGTTCCGTCTCCTGAGTGTATATATGTTTTTGCGCGTGTGGTAGAAGAATTACGGTAGCGAAGGCTGACGCGTACGCAACTATGTGCCGTAAATTAAGAGGAAAGTCGCCTCAAATAATCGAATAACATTATTATGTTTGTGCTTTAAAACAATCCTCTTATGTTTGTAACTGCATATTGATGTTGCTTATGCTGAGAGGCAAATTGAGGTCTGTTTAATGGGCAGTCTGGCATCACCTACATAAGCAGAAGATTTTTGGAGAAAGACCTCAACTGATGAAAACTTGAGGAATTAGTACAAACTGGTATGTACGTGAAATTCCCTACCAGTGTTTTTTCCCCACAGGGAATTTACCCAAGAAAAATCATTTAAAATTTGTTTTTCTTACAAAGCGGTACAGTAAAATTGCATCTCGATTCTTGCCAAAGTCAATAACAGTCTAGTGTTAATCCTTTGATGATTTGGAAGGGATTTCCCTCTAATTAATCCAAAACCATACGCGTGTTTTTCTTATTTTGTTTTTTTTCTCACTTCCAGCAGCGTTACCGTAATTCTTCTACCAAATGTTCACGAGGAGCGTTTAGCTTTTAGCTCGCCACTCGACCGCGTTGAGCAAGCCAAGTAAGCACAACAGACGACGTAGGGCAGGCAGCTAACGCGCTGTTTTAGCTAACGCAGCAAGGTGTGCGTCGGCTAACGGGCTCCCTTCAGAAAGATGTGAGCGTACCGGGGAAGATTTTTGGCGACCTGGCGGGGTAAATAAATACGGAGGGAGCGGAGAGTGGCGTTGAAATGTTTTAGCGCGGGCACTGCTTTCGGCGGCGTTTTCCTCTCTGCCGCTGAGCATAATGAAAGAGCGATTGTGTAGGTGAAGCTGCTGCCTGCGTGGCTAAACCCGACGTGTGTGAACCGAAGAAAAAGACGTTTGTGGGGTTTTTTTTTTTCAACCCCCCTTTCTAGCTTACTCATCGCTCTGTTGTTGCCACTGTGCCCCAGCCTGATAACGTTTCCCTGCCCGGTGACTGCCAGGTAACCGTCACTTTAATCATTCCACCGCTCAATGCCTACGTCGCGGGTTCGAGCCCGGGCTTTGTCGTCGGCTTTAGACTGAGCCCCTTGTTCGAAATACAAATTTAGGCCTTTCTTTTATTTTATTTTATTTTCATTTTATTTATTTTTTGCCTTTGCTATGTTGGACAACGACTCTGCGGTGTCCACAGCAGCAGGGTGACAACGTCCATCATCAGACGGGGAAGTGCGGGCCTCGACACCCAGTTGGCAGCAATTAAAACTTTGCTGTTGACTCACAGTACAGGTTTTATGGGGTTTTGTTTCTTTATGGTGGGGCAACTTTACTGTCTTTACACACCTAGACCGGCCTGTCCTTGGAGGGGTGGCTGTAATTTTCACATGTGAAGTGTGAAGCGCACACTATTGGGTGTTGAAACTTACAAATCTTGCCATTTGTTTTATATATGTGCTCATTTTAAAATCGATGGCAGTGTTATTTGAAGAAAAAAAACAACTTGCTGCATCACTTCTTCTCTCACTGTTACAGCCAAGATTGGGAATATGCGCAGAATTCCCCTCCATTATGGCATCTTGCTGTAAATGCTGTGTTGTGATGATCAGGGTTAAAAGGCTTTGCAGATGCAGGGCTTTAGACTGCTCTCACAAGAAGGCAGATGGTCCCTTTGCTCTTTATCCAGACACAAACTTCATGTTTTTGTGCACTCTCCCCTCCTGGGATGGGCCTTCTCAGAGCTTTTCTCGGATCACTCCTTTTAAATCAAGCCATGCTTACAAACCTGTTGCCATGTGTCCTCCTTATTTATTTAGACCAGCATTTTTTCTTTTTTTCCAGCTGCCCGTTTTATCCCTGGTGCACGCACTCAAATCGAAACTCGACCGTTATTTGCTGTCGTTTTCACATCTGGCAAAATTCAGCTTTTTTTACATTTTTAATTCATGTGGCACAGTGTGTCCAAAGTTCTGTGGAAGTGGGATTGTGGGCTGGAGAGCTCTCAGTACTGCAGAACTGGGTTGTCCCCTGCCTCTGGGGGGTGGAACAAAACCACAGGGGCAGCAAATCAATCGCTTTTCTCCACATGCATTATTGACAGTGCAACTGTCCCGTACCCGTTTCTCCTCTGCCTGACCTGATTCCCCTTCTCCCCCTCTCCCCCTCACGTCCTCCAGGAGACGGCATGCTGCGTCCACTGTAGCTCCGGAGAAGAGACGGCCACTACACCAGCGTTCGGAGGCGTGTGTCCAGGCGGGCGTGAGGCGGTGCGCTCCAGGGGCCATGCGTCAGGGGTGAGAGGGATCGGCTTCGGGGGACAAACTCATCGGGCGAGGAGGCGGTCGGGGCCGGTCGGCGTGGAGATGAAGCTCAAACAGCGCGTGGTGGTGCTGTGTGCCGTTCTGCTCCTGCTGGGCCTGGCCAAGATCTTCCTGCTGGATGGAGGTGAAGGATCAGCGGCCGGCCGGCGGGACCTCAGGGCGTTTCGAAAGGTCAGTGCGCGGCTCCGGCTGACGGGGCGGTCCACCCTGTTTCTGCATTTTTTTTTCACTACATCCAGCGCTTTTTTCTCCAACAGATGGAAGCCGGTCTTTCTCTGCCTCGCGGAGCTCGCCTCACCCACACCCTCCAGTCTCCGTGGGAGATAGCAAGCCAGTGGGTGGGCCCCAGAGAGGTGTACCCCGAGGAGACCCCGGAGCTGGCAGCTGTACTGACCTCCTTAAGCACCTCCAGGATAGAGCGTGCCGATGTGGGCTACAAGGGCACGCAGCTCAAAGCTTTGCTGGTGCTGGACGGAGGGCAGAAAGTGGTCTTCAAACCTAAGAGGTCAGATATTTTAAAGATGGGGTCGAACGCTTCGATTTTTCGCATCAGGGTGGTTAAGGTGTCCTTGTTTTTCTTTTTTTTTTTTAGATACAACCGGGACTACGTGGTGGAAGGAGAGCCATATGCCGGTTATGACCGGCACAATGCAGAGGTGGCTGCTTTCCACCTGGACAGGTGTGTAAGAGTCGCTGTCATCGATCCAGTAGCCATGTTCCCGTGCAGGAATGGGGTCCATTACTCTGTCCACTCTGCAGGATCCTCGGCTTCAGGAGAGCACCTCTAGTGGTGGGCCGATACGTCAACCTGCGAACAGAGATCAAACCCGTGGCCACAGACCAGCTGCTCAGCACTTTCCTCATGCAGGGTAAGTATCTGGCCTACTTTGGCCCACTCGGCCTCTGCAAAAAAACTTCCAGTCATAAGTTTTCATTTCTCTCAGTGTGACGGTGGTGTTACCGAATGAAGAATTTCTCTCTTTGAAAAAAAAAAAAAAAAGAGAGGTATTGCATGTTAACCGGTTTTCTCACCCTGAACCCAGTTTTTTGCGGGGGGGCAGGCACTGTCGCTCTTAGGCTGGCAGTTCCTCCATCTTTCTGACGGGGATGCGTCCGGTTTCCCGAAGGCGTGGCACTATTTATATCCATATTATTCAAAGCGATCATAAAAGAACTGTGTTCAGTTGTGTGGACTAAATACAGTTGGAGGGGACTGACTCACTTCAAAAGTAATAAAAAAAAATTAAAAAAAACTGTAGATGGTGGACACAAACAAGGCGCAGCTTAAAAGGGTATTGCACTCATTGTTCTAGGAAGAGCTATTACCTTCCTCAAAGGGGAACTCCGGCAATCTACCAGATAAAGGTCGGTTTCGAAGTCATAAGGAGCCTGTGGCTTTGAGTGTCCTTTTATCGTGGACAAAAATCATTTTGGGGGCTTGCAGTTTGAGGGACTTGGAAATTTAGCTGGTGCCGGATCTAATGAACCTTTTTGACTAATTTAATTTAGTGGATACTTTTTGATGTTCTGTGAAATTGTTATTTGATAAAGGAAATAACTTCGAGAAGTAGGAAAGGACTCTAAATACTATGTATGAAAGTGCCACTGATAAATTCATTTTTTTAAACTGCCCTCCACATGTGGTTACCTCCAGTTGGAGGTAACCACATGTGACCTTTAAAAAAAAAAGATAGAGAAAAAAAAGGCCTTAGATAAATTACAACTTCATAGCATCGGTTAACCCAAAAGATGTTTGAAATTTTGATTATCATCTTACTTTTTTCCCCTTCTTATTCTGAAAGTCAGATGTCTGGACTGTTAGATTGCGGTAGACCGCCTTTTGCGGAGGGGAAAAAATCTTCCCAGCAGATGGTGTGTGACCTGCTCTACACATCATCCAGGACATGCTGACTGAACGCCTGTGTTTTTTAATTTTTTTTAATGCAGCTCCTCCTGACTAACACATCTCCAGTTAAGTTATTTCGAATGTGCATTTTGACACGGTCACCATATTTGGACAAGCTCAACAGGATCAGTCTGCAGGACTACTTTCGTCTGACGCAAGTTTATTTCATACCTTTGCATAAACAGCGCTTTGAAAACAACCAGTAAAGAGAAATTTACACAAATTTTGATCTTTACTGGAAATGACCTGTTATTACCGGTAAATAAACAACCACAGCCGCAGCTCTTTTGCTCACTGAAAGGTGTTTGACCTTTAGAGGCTCTGCTGTGGGACTGTTTTCACATAGTGCTGAAATGGTATTCATTTGTATCTCAATGGAATACAATGGCTTTGTGCTCTGTTGCATAAAGGTAGGAAAATGAAAAGACAGCGTAAAAGAGTGGAAAATCTCAATCCACCAACAAGACAGAGCTCCTGGAACATCTCTCTGGGAATGTTTGGTGGGCGTTTTAGCGCCACCTGTGGGTGGAGGTCATTACAAGTCACAGAAAGAAGGGGGGTGTTCGGGATATGCACTTTATGCCCCTGACTTTTGTTTTGTTTTTGTTTTTTTTCGATGGGTTTTTAAGTTTTGCATCATCTTTATCCATCTTTATCCAAAATGGGGACAAAAAGCCGATGCGCACTAACTCGTGGGCACTTTCCCAACATGCCACCCAGCAGCCTATGGTCATCTCCCGCCTTAACGACTGCAGCTCTCTCCTGATTGGTTCGCCAGCCTCTGCCGTAAAACCTCCACAGACGATCCAGAACGGGGCGCGTCTGGTACTCAGTCAGCCTAAAAAAAATCTTTCTGTTTTGAGCTTCAGATTCCAGCAGCTGATGTTAGCCTGTGAAGTGCTTAAGTGGACGGCCCCCATCTTCTCAAGCTCTTGCACAGGCTTATGTCACAAATCGGTCATCAATGGCTTGTCGTTTGGCAGTGCATACATCGCACTTAAGACAATCCAGACTCTTTTGTCGTTCAGTTTCAAGAAGAGTTGGTTTCGGGCTACATTCTTTAGACTTAGGTTTAAGATGAGGGTCGAAGCTGGACCCTCAGTCTGTGAAGTGCTTCGTCTAAATAGAAAGTCCCCGCAGGCCAGACACATGTTTGTGTGTGTCTGCACATTGTGAGACAGCATCTGTCCTTTAGTTCACATGATAAACTCTTCACATGGACTTTTAGAGAAGAGTCGGTGAGCAGCGTTCATCTTTTCCCTTTCAATGCCTCTCTTGCTTCCCTTCCCTCCGATACCTCGGTGACAATAATGCATTGTGGTCCAGTGGATGTATCTTAATCAGCACAATGGTGTCTGTCTCCAGGTAATAATACGTGTTTCTTTGGGAAGTGCTACTACTGTCGGGAGACGGAGCCCGCGTGTGCCGAGGGGGAAATAATGGAGGGCTCTTTGACGCTCTGGCTGCCAGACGTTTGGCCGCTGCAGAAACACAGACACCCGTGGGGACGCACGTACAGAGAAGGGAAACTGGCCAGGTAGGTACTGGGTACAGATCTAAAGATCTCTACAATTGTGTTTTTTTTCAATAGTTTCAAGAGTGGGGGAATTTTTTTACTGACTTCACTAAACTGCTCTGCTTGATGTTTATCAGGGAAAACGCACATCCTTAATTCAAGCAGTCTTTCTTGGCAACTCTGCAAAAGACAGCCATGCGCTTTGTATTTCATTTTACATTTGTTTTGCGTTGTGTTGTGAATAAGGCTTCAGGCCGGGGTTTCTGCCGTTGAAACACATGCAGCGGACCCCGTTTGGGTCCAGGTTTCTCTCCTGTGCTGCCCTCACTCCTGTGTCATCAGTTCTGCTGCAGTCTTTTGGAATTCATTCCAAAAGAAACATGTTCCGATCTGATCTCAGTGGACTTTGGTGTTTTTGATTCAGGTGGGAGTACGACGAAAGCTACTGCGAGGCAGTGAAGAAAATGCCGCCATATGATGCCGGGCCCAGGCTGCTGGACGTGATCGATACCGCCGTTTTCGACTATCTCATTGGAAACGCCGATCGGCACCACTACGAAAGCTTCCAGGACGATGGAGGCGCCAGCATGCTCATCCTACTGGACAACGCAAAGAGGTGGGTGATGGTGAGAAGGGTTCCCCGCTGCACTAAGTCTTCACTGTTGAAATAGTTGACTGGATTCGCTACTTTAGCAGGTTATCCTTTTTAGAAACTCCTCCCTCATATCCTTCCAGCCGTGCACACTGGAGGCCACAGTGGAGGTTTTTCTTTTCTTAATTTTCAGTCAGTTTCTTGTGACAGTTTACAGTTTTCACATCCTTTTTCAAGAACTCTCCTCGTCTCCTCTGGAAGTACTTGATTACTGACTCACAGACAACACTTACTCCCATGACAAATCTTTTTAGTTTCTCTATGATCAAAAGTGAACAGTAGAACCTCACTGCTGGAAAAAATGAGTATGTCTATCATTTAGTCATCAACCACAGCTCCTTAGGTTGATTATTAGTATTTATTTAGTGTGTTGCTCTCACGATTTTGCACGTTTCCAAGTCACTACCAACTGACAGGTTTGAATGGAATTAGCGTTTATTGCACTTCAAAGTCGTGAGTAATTATTTTCCACCCATATGAAGATTTAACAACGTCTAATATTCATGCTTTAAGCTGTTTCTTTTCTGACAAAACGATTACAATTTCATTTGAGTCACAAATTGCAATAGAATAAACGCTAAAAAATAACCAAGAGTATTTGACCAACCATTCAAAAGTCACCAGAGGTTTGGTACACTAAGGAACCTAAAGCCCATTTCTCTGCTTCATCAGATGATCCTTCTGTCTGTAGGCCGTCTCATTACTCCCTGGCATCAGTCCGAAAGCAGTGGGATCTGTCAATGCTGTCTTAAAAACTAACATCTGCTACACACAGGAATTCCTGAAAACCCCTGGAAGCCACCAGAGGTGCCAAAAAGCGAAATAACGTGCAGATCAGGAGAGACGAGAGTGAAAAACAATCCGTTGGTGCTCAAACCTTTAGTGGATCAGGGTTCCCTACCAGCCAGGCCATCGAGGGATTAGAGCACATGCTAACTGTGCCGCAGTGCTAGCCGTTCATTCCTGATAGGATTTTAAACTATGGGATGGTGAGCGGCGTATCATCATCATTTTAGGCTTATTTCATGGATTTTCACAGATGTGTGTGTGTCTGTGTGTGTGCCACAACCAGCAAAATGGGATTATTCCGGTCTGTTTACTGTTGTCCTTTGTTTCCGTGCAGCTTTGGGAATGCTGCTCTAGATGAGCGAAGCATCCTGGCCCCTCTCTACCAGTGCTGCATGTGAGTCACAAATAGATCCCATCGCATTTCCTGCTCCAATGCTTTATTTGATGTTTGCTTTTTCTTTTTTTTTTTAAAACAAATTTGGTGTTGTAATATTTGTCTGTGTTTCTGACAGGATCCGCGTCTCCACATGGAACAGGTTGAACTTCCTGAAAGGCGGAGCGCTCAGTTCAGCCATGAGGCAGGCTCTGGCTTTTGACCCCATTCACCCGGTCCTGGCCGAGTCGCACCTGGCAGCTCTGGACCGACGTCTGTCCGGAGTCACAGCCACTGTGAAGCAGTGCATGGAGGCACAGGGGCCCGACAACACTCTAATAGAGGACCGGATGAATCTCCCACATCCTTAAAAGCAAATGCAGAGAGAAAGTGACAGCAACCCCCCCTACCCCCCACCCCCTGTAGGCTGGATAAGGGGATATCCAAACACATGGGCCCTGCTGCAAAAGAAAGAGAGATGCTGCGTGAGTAACCGAGGTTTAGGGGCGGGCTGAGAGAAAGCATCTCTGTAATGCTCTTTCATTGTTGCTCTGGTAAACAGCAGTAGCTCTTGAATGGGATTCACAAGAACCTTGATATGTGACACCTTTATAAACTTCCTCTCAGGACTGTTTGCACTCAAGGACGAGCTTCTGAGTTCGAACCGACTGTCCAGCACTACTGGTTTCGACTGTACTCCCTCGCCGTGAGAAATCCTCCCTTCGCCTCATGCTTTTCTGGCAAGTCAGTTGGGGAGGAAGGAGTTCGTAGAGAAGAACACTTTCAAGAAAAGGGGGGAGGCGGGGTTTTAAACGCCTCTGCAAAAACACTGCAGCCATGTTTCCATTTGGATCTCATCGACCAAGAAACTGAAGAATTACTACCTTTTGAATCATTAAGAAATTCAGATCTCTTTCAAAACTGAAAACATGTCCATGATATGAGATCGGAAGAACTCAGCTTTGCCCATCCGTGTACATATTTAAGTAAATCGTGATGTAGAGTTCCAAGATGACAGAATATAAATGTGGGCAATATAATATTAAATGAATTTAACGGCGTGTGTGTGAGAGTGTGTGTGTGTGTGCGCGCGCCTGTGTACGACTGAGTGCCATACTGTGCCGTAAATACAGCTACTGATATGACAGACTTGAAGCTTAGTGGAGACAGAGATCTGGTGGTTCTGCAGCATTAAACTATGGTCTGTTTGATCCTGGTTTTTGGATGTTGTTTTTTTTGTGTTCACCATTCAAAAGCCCAAATCTGCTGGTAATTCTGCCCTGAAAAATCACTCCTGTTAGAAGGGACAGTTATTTTGCTTTTACTTTTAATGTTTTGACAGTTTTCTTTTAGTCATCTGACCCGAGATGTGTCACAGGCCGCCTCTGAAATGTTGGCCATAGCTGCCTTTTAGTCACAGGAACCTAGTTTTACTTTTCACTTTATCTCAGCTCACTTTCTGTAAACCTTTGTTTTCGCTTTTCCAATTTTGAATCAGGGTTGAAACTAATTCATAAGACTCAACAAATTTTGCTGCAGTATATTAGTCAAAAAACAGAAGGTTGGGGGGATCACCGTGTCTGGTTTGCTGCTGTGTGGCGGTGACAACGGCGTTTGTTTTGAGATGATTAAAACAGAAACAGTTATGTGAGCCCAAACATCAAAACAACCACACCAAAAAAAAAAAATCTCTGTGTTTTTTTGTTGTTTTGTTAAGGTTATCAGGGGTCAACTTTGATGGGGGGTGGGGAGGGGGGTTCGATTGTGGTTGACACAGGTGTACGAGGCACAGCTGGATGCAGCTTTGTCTGCATGCTCCAGCTGTCTTAAGCCTTGATCGGCACCCCAAGACGTGTGCAGGTGTTAAGCTGGCACAAACCCCCCCCAACTCACACACCTTCTCCCTTGAGCATTTGCCTAGATGTGTGTGTGCATTTGGTGAAGGATCTGATCTGATCACTCAGTACAAGCTCAGTCTTTCCACACTTTCAGCGTGTCAGATCAAAGGAAAAGAGCCATCTTGTCCGTAGACATTTAAAATGAGCAAATCAACTCAGCCGACAGCACGGGGGCCTCTATGGACTTCCCCAGTTGAATAGGTGCTTCTGTTACAGATCATCTTTCACCACAGCAGCTTAATCCTTATCGCTTGACCTTTACTGGATTTTCTTTAAACGATGGTTGCCGTGGCATCACGATTACGAAATGTGTGCTCTTGGACTGCTGTGGGCCCGGTTTTTGGCGCACCCACAGATGGGCCAGCTTCATTGTGAAACCGTGTGGCAGGGCCCCCCCCCGTCCCCACAGGCAGATGTTCAGTGTCAGCTGTGCGCTCACATCCAGCCTCTTCTCTGAGCAGCGCGCCAGATGATGTGGGACACCTGTTTCGTTTAGGCTAAGCAGGTGTTCCACTCAGACCACGCACCAAAACACTGAAACTGATGTCAACGGCAGAGCCGGACGTGATGAAGCATGTCGGGGCATGTGAGAGCAAAGGCTTGTGGGGGTTTTTTTGCTTACCCCCCAGCATCCTCCACTCTAGAGGAGGAGCAGGTACGCCTTTTTCTCTAGAGGTCCAGGAGCTCGTGTCATGAACCCAACAGGCCAGATGACGATGGCGGGGAATCATCAGGCCCCTTTTTGTTTGGATTTATGAAAAAAGGAGAGGAAACACAAACTGTGGAGTGATCCATGTTGTTTTCAGCGGGGTGTCAAACCGCCAGTGGCCACGGACGGGGGCCCAATAACGGGGCACCCCCCCGTACTGCGGGGCGCCCCTCAATAATTAATTAAGACGATGATTTATTTTCCTTATTTAGGCAGGATTAGAAAGGAAACTCCTACAGATCAGAGGCTGTGACGTGTGGGGGAAAAGTGTAGTCATTGTGACTTGTGCTTTTAAAAAATTCCCTCTTCACGGGATAAATACCAAAGACAACATAAAATTCCCTCAGGTTCTCATCAAAAGGTAACACCTCATCTTTGGTGTCGGTGCCTGAGAAAAGCCACGGACACCTTTTTGCTCAGGGGTGGACACGGCAGGGAGATGACCCACAGGACGGGCGCCCCCCTCACACACTCTCCACTAAGGCCTAAACAAAAGGCCTAAACTGAACCCGTCAACTAGTCCAGGACATTCAGAAATATTCTTTCACTCTGTTTTTTTCAGTTTTTTTTATCTCTACATCTACAGCTGAACAAGTTTTCACAATCTGTTTAAAAAGAGTTCAACATTGGGATGATCAGCAAAGGGGTGGTGGCCGAAGAAAACTTCATTTAGGGATGCTGACCAAGTTCACCTGGATCTGTACCTTTTGCACACCAGTGTTAAGCGTCCTGACTCCCACAGCATCACTTCTCTTTGGAATCTGAAAAACTTTACATTCTGGTCCAAAATGAGAAGAGAAGTAGCCAATTCTGGCTTCAAGGGTTTGAAAGAATGACGTGTCTTTCAAAATTGGCATTATTATTAATATTTTCATATTAAACCATTGCGCTTGGATAAAGATTAAGGCCAATTTTGGCTTTTGATTTCTAAGGAAAAATCCATGTCTTGACCCTCCCAGTTCAGGTTCAGGTCGGATGACAGCTCATTCTTTTCCACCGTGTCCTGGCTTTTCATAAAGCATATCTGTCCCTGTGGGTGGAGGTCCGATGCATATTTCAGGCCAGCTCTTTAACAGCCTGAGTACTGGAGAACCTAATAACTTGCCAAGAAATTCCACCATGGAGCTGAGTGGTCTTTGGCCTGGAAAAAGACAAGACAATGGCTACACTAATCAGCTATATGTAGTTGACCAAATTTCTTCTGGTTGTTGAGCATGAATCTGAGTGAACTCCAATAACCTCAATTCATATATAGATGTAGATTGAGAGAGAGAGTGAGAGTGTTTTGGTTATTGAAAATTATATAGAAGAAGATGCTATTTAGAGAACAAGCGAGGAACACAATTGCACAATCCCAGGCCTACAAGTGTTTAGTTGGGCACTTGAACCGGAATTTGACTAATATATTGCCCACATAAAAGAACAGTTCTCCCTGGGGACCTGCGTTTGATTTTGAAGTGCTCCCACTAATGGTGAGAAAGCATCACCAAAACAGGACGCTGTCACGGTTGGTGTGTAAACCTTCAGCAGGCAGGTGGGTCCCCACCACAGGGGCTGGCGTCCTGGAACATAAAGAAAGCCCCCCAAGCACCGTTTGGGGGCTTTCTTTATGTACCAAAAAAAAAAAAGAATGGCTCATGTTAGGGGTTCAGTTCATATGTGGCTCACGCGCTGGGCAGCCTGCCTGGTGTTTTGGGTTTTAAATGTAGTGGTCTGTCAGAGGTGAGCTTTCCTCTGCGGAGGGCAGAAGGTGCGGGCTGGTCAGTGGGGAGTCAGACTGACCCCTGATGTCTCACTGACCCCTGATGCCTCACTGACATCTCGCTGACTGGCAGAGCGTGCGCGTGAGCGTGAGCGTGCACGATGGCAGCCTCGACCTGCATGTGTGCACCAAACTGGCAGCAACTTGTTTTTGCTGCACTCTCAAGACAGTCAGCTCCATGGCTTTCACTAGGCTTTCTTTTTCTTTTCTTTTCTTTTTTTTTTGTTGAACGTTTAGTGTGTGTGCGTGCGCTCGCGCGCCTCCGGCGCATCACACGAGCTCGCTGCAACCCCCCCACCCACACAAACAAGACAGAATACGGCGTCGATCGTGAGCGCTTTACTTTCCAGTCACTCCCCTCCTTCCTTGCCCACTCGTTAAAAGCCTCGCGCGGCTCCGGCCGGAGCTCACAGCGCAGAGCAGATGGACGCAGCAGAGCGCGGCCACGTTGCGCCCCGGGGCCGGCGCGCCACGGCCAGGCTGGCCGTGCTGGTCACCCTGCAGAACCTGCTGACCGTCGCCTGCCTCCTGGCCACCTACTACATCTACAAGGACTTCCAGCCGCTGGTAAGTAGGCTGAGAGCCATGTTGACAGACGGAGCAGGTGATGGATGGAGCGCGCGCGCTAACGGGATGCGTCCAGCTTAGGGTAGGGTGGTAGGAATATAACGGAAAACCATTCACCTCATGCCTAGTGATCCAGCAGACTAATTCTTCTGAGAATAACTTCGTTTCCCCCCCCCTTAGACTACTTGTTTTCTTAGATGCTCTGAAAATGACTACACCCAGAGCGCGCTGTTTCATTCATTCTCTGGGAGGATGCGATGCGTCAATCTGACCCAACAAAGCGACTTTAGAGCCTCACTCTGATTGGATTCCTGTTTTCTTCCCGGTCGCTGGAACCATCTCAGGAAGTGCCTTTGCTTTGGAGTCTCAGCGTTGGCTCGTTGGAGTAATTCAGCCTTTATTAGTCAAGTATTTGCGCGGCACTATAACAAAAAGAAAAAAAAAATCGTCATATTTTCACACGGATTCAGTTTTTTGTTTTTTGTTTGTATCCGTTTGTTCTACTCCCACTGCTGGTTTTCACCCACTGTGAGATGCTCCCTGCTCTCTGTGAGCGTCTCTGTTTTCACTCTGAACCGAACGAGCGCAGTCTCGCTTCCCCCAGCCAAACATCAAAGAACCCGATAGCAGAGCCGTGTGACCTTTTTTTTTTTTTTTTTTCTTTCCAAAAAGACTCGTTGGAGCTATAACGTCGATCGACCAACAAGTGTCCTCATTTTCCATTCTAACCGGTGTGTTTCCCCCCCCAGCTCTCTGAGGACACGGCGCACATCCAGTTTGATGCCATCACAGGTGAGCAGTGGCCTTTAGCGGCAGATCCTATCTCTGCAGACGAAAACAAGACTCATATCAAGAGAAGCCAGCATGTCTCGACTCTCCTCACTTTCATGTTTCACGTTGCCTTACTTTTCTTTTCTCTTCTTTTTTTCCCCCCCATCCTCTACAGGGCTCAGAGAAAACGTAACGCTTAAGTTCAACCACATCATGAGCGCCCACAACCTGATACTGAACGAGAAGAAGGACCAGATCTCCATCAAGTGCACCGGGCCCTACCTCTGGCACATGGAGGTGTGCTACGAGAACCCGGAGGAGGAGAACACGGGGGTCCTGCAGCTGCAGGTGAAGGGAAGCAAAGCTCCGGCCAGCTCCGTCC